CTAAAGGGCAGTACTGCAGCCAGGACTCTGCTTGTGACCTTAAATTCCTAGATCAGTAAACGGAGGGCAACAAGTTTTCTCTCCTGTCCCCGGAGACACTTTAATCTGTGTACTGCATTTAAATTTGCTCAAAGAAAACAGACAGTATTTGCTATCGTCTCATAGTGGCATAAGCTATTTGCCATTTTTAAATTGAGAATGTGTCCTTTCTTGTGTTGGGAACTTTTGCAAAGGTCTTTCCACCTCCATATGTGCTAAGAAGGAGTCTTGTCTCCTTATGCGGTGAACTACATGTAGGGGTGAATGTAGGGGAAATTGAATACTCAGAAGAGATAATGATGAATGGAAAGCTAACGAAGTGCATTTACTGTAAGTGTACTACAAGTTTTCTTCTCACACCCTTCTCTACGTCTCTCCTGTTGCCAAGACTTTGATAATCAGGACATGATAATTTATTTTAAAGCAAGCACCGAGGGAGTAGGACCAGCATACTCTGCTTAAAGAAGAACAGAGGGGAGATTTCTTTTGACCCCAAAAGGAGTCTTTCTGGATCAGAATAAATCCGAGTCTGGGCTAGGTCCCCCACCACCTTTCTCTTTTCTAGCAGGGGGTGCCAGATGTTTCCATGAAGGCAAAATATGGAGGTTGCAGTTATAAAGGGCATTGCAGGATACTACCTAGTTGGAGGACATGAGAGACCTGTTCGGGGTGATGGCCGTTTTCAGGGAAGGAAATCCTGAAGCAAAAAAACATACACGCTGTTACAGAAGAAGAAGAAACCCCGTGAGCACATGCTGAAGACAGGCCATCCTTGGAACCTCTGGATTCTGCTGTGTGTCCAAAAATCATGTGTACCGTGTATTACTATATATATAATCTTGTAGTCGTAAAATTAAAAGCAACAGTACCTGAATATTATTGGATAGTTCACCCCATTCAGACGCCAGTGTGTAAATAATAAAGCCCAGTGCACAAATCACATTCCCTAGTAATAGTCCATTCTGTTTTGGGGAAGAAAAAAAGCAACCACACATTTTTATTTTTATCTTGGAACTTCATCCCGTCTTCCCATTTGATGAGTAGGCTTCTCATATGCACCTGATCGCTCTTGTGCGGGGGTTGAAGGAAATATAGGTTGCCTCTGAGGGTTGACCTGGGTATCCAGACGGACTCGAACCCACTTCGATACTGCAACCAAGACTGCTCATGACCTGAGTTTGGATTCAGGGAGCCAGCTCAAGGTGGACTCAACTTTCCATCCTTCCGAGATCGGTAAATGGAGTAGCCAGCTTGCTGGGGGCAGGCAACGATGATTAAATTGTAAACCACCCAGAAAGTGCTTTAAGGGCTATGGGGTGGTATATAAGCAGCACACTTTCCTTTGGCTTTGCAAACGTTGTCCTGAGGCACCGAGGCAGGCTGCAACCTGCTTTCCTGCCCCATCTCAGCCCTCTGTGCTGTATAAAAACAAGCTATAAAGTAACGATTCCCCACGTTGAGCCTCCAGAGGTTCACGGACTATCGCTCCCCAGAAATCTTGGCCAGCCCAGCTAGTGGCGAAGGCCTCAGGGAGTGACAGCCCGAGAACATCTGGGGACCCCAAGTTGGAAGGGTCAAAAGAAATGCCCACGATTTGAGGCACTGGTCTGTAGGAGCCAGCTGCGTGTTAGGATCTCTGGAGGAGCTCCGCTCCCTGAATAAACCTGGCTAATTGCAGAGATCTGCTTCCTGTCCCACCATTGAGAACCATTTGTGATGTGGATAGATTGGGGGGGAGGCCTTTTTCTGCCATAGCGCCCCCCCCACTGGGGAATGGGCCTTGCCATTGGTATCATTTCAGAGTCAAGACATCTTTCATTATTAGAGCCTCCGAGGGTTAAAAATCATGGCCTGGGCAAAGTCCCAGTGCATTTTTTTAATGTTTTGAGTGCTTTAATTTTATTAAGACAGGTAGATTCTGTAGGAGCCAGCTGCGTGTTAGGATCTCTGGAGGAGCTCCGCTCCCTGAATAAACCTGGCTAATTGCAGAGATCTGCTTCCTGTCCCACCATTGAGAACCATTTGTGATGTGGATAGATTGGGGGGGAGGCCTTTTTCTGCCATAGCGCCCCCTCCACTGGGGAATGGGCCTTGCCATTGGTATCATTTCAGAGTCAAGACATCTTTCATTATTAGAGCCTCCGAGGGTTAAAAATCATGGCCTGGGCAAAGTCCCAGTGCATTTTTTTAATGTTTTGAGTGCTTTAATTTTATTTTAATTTATTTTATTTTAATTTTATTAAGACAGGTATATTTTTGTGTACTTTGGTTTTTAACTGTTTTAGCCATTTTCGTTGCAATCTAGCTTTGTACAGGTCTGCTGCCCTTCCTGAGATCCTGTGACAGGATGAGCTGTAAATGTTTAGACAGATAGATAGATTAGAGAGAGAGAGAGAGAGGAATCAATAAATATCAGGCAAAAAGGACTTTAAAAGAAAGAAAGAAAGAAAGAAAGAAAGAAAGAAAGAAAGAAAGAAAGAAAGAAAGAAAGAAAGAAAGAAAGAAAGAAAGAAAGAAAGAATGGGATATCTTACAAGACTAACTGTGGTGTTTTAATGTGAGCTTCCATTTTCTCAAGACCTATGACTATAACTGCATAGCCGATGCTTATAAACATTTACAGTTGCACCCCCCCGAAAAAACTTCCCAAGGCTAAAGATAACATGTGGCAAAATGGTAAAGAATATCTCTAATCACTGATGGTATTTTTGTTTTTGTTTTTTTTGCTATCTTTACCTCTTCTGAAACTAAGAAAGAAAGAGAGAGAGAGGAGGGAACTGGACTGGGCAAAGGGAGGAGGGGGTCTCCTTCGATCCAAAAAATCTGTAAAGTGTTACTCATGGCTTGGAAAAACTCCGAACAGATGCATTCCAAAAACATCACTTTTCCAATCCCGAATGAGGTGTTATTTTATTTGGAGGCTGCCTTTCTTTCTGGTAAGGACGATCCAGGGCGGCTCACCATATTTAAAACAAGTCAAGTTAAAAAGGAAGTTAACTAATTTTAAAAAATACAACCACCGATTAAATGATGAGCTAATTATGATTAAATAACTAAAAGCAAGGAAACAGTAAAAAAGCGATGTCACTTTTCATCACTACTGGCTTAGGGCCACCCCTGAGCAGGTGTGACATCCGCGAGGTCCTGCCCTCCGCCATCTTTGCAAACTCAAGCCTGTGGCTTCCTGCATGGAGTTCGCCCATCTCACATTTCTTCTTCCTCTTTTCCTGCTCCCACCAACTTCCAGCCTGGGTGACTTGCAATACCTTTTGAACAGACAAAAGAACATTTTCGTGACCATTAATAGAAAGCCTGGGAGAGGGTCCACCGTGAAAGCCTCTGAAGGTTTTGCCGGGTGGGGGGCTGCCTAGTAGGCTCTACGTCTCCCCCCCAATCCTTCCCAGACACCCACCTCTTTGCCCCGCATGTCAAAATGCTGCTTTTAACCTAGAAAGTCCTCAAAAGCTCTCTCAAAGAGATGTGTCTCCCGTTATGAGCCAACTCAAATGTTATATGGCCATCAGGAGAGCCTTTTCTCCCCATCCCGCCATCTGCTCAGGTGTATTTGGTAGGAACAGGGGAGAGAGGCCTTCCCTCCCTGTGGTGGGTCCCAGAGACTCTGGACCTCCCTGCCACTGGAGTCCAGCCTGGTCCCCATCTTGGCTCTCCTTCTGCTAGCAGGGCAAGACCCTTCTCTCCAGGCAGGGTTTCCCTGAGTGACTGGCTGCCTGGAGTGGGGATTTTAAAATCCCCACTTTGTCTCCAATGGGGATTTTAAAATCCCCACTGGAGACGTTTTTACATGTTTGTGGCTTTTACATCTGTTTTGGTCGTGCTTTGGATCTAACTTTTGAAATACAATCTTTGTGTGGGGGTGGGTAGGTGGGTGGGCGCAAAGCAGTTCCTTGATTTGTGTTTTATTTTTCTGGTGCATGGGGGATCCCCTCCCCCAATTATGGATCCCCAGGAGAGGCACCAGATTCCCCCCCCAGCATCCCAAGAGGGGTCCCTTCTCTTTCCACCCCCCCAAAAGTCACCCCCTTTCTTCCCTTACTAGCTGCAGAGTTTCTATCAACATTAGGCACTCAGAGAGGTTGGGACATAAACTGCGATGGAACTCCCACCCCCATCACGTTTAAATTTTATTTATTTATTGTCTGCTGTTGCCTCTGGGGGTGACATTTTGTTTTATTTTTCTGGTCCTTTTGTGTTTCTGTGCTCGGATTAATTGAGAGGAATTTAATTGCACAATGAGGGGAGGGGTAGGGAAGGAAGAGATCCTAAGGAAGCACCCCCCCCAACTCCCTTCTTTCCTCCCCACTTCCTCTCTCTCTCTCCTTTTTTTACTGCCTCACTTCCGGTCCCTGTTGAGAAAGGAGAAACGTAGAGCTAGGAAGATTTACGAGGTGACCCCTGCCCTTTGGTGCTTTTTCAGCAAGGAAAAAATCCCTTTCCAAAGAAAGCAAGGGAAGGGGTTTTTTCTTGATTATGATGATTATTTCTCTCTTCATTTGTTTCTGCCGGCCAGCCCCGCCCGCCGCCCCTTTTCTTCCTTCATGAAACCATGCCTGAGAAAGAGGGGGGAACCTAGAGCTACGAAAGCGTACATGGGAACCCTACTCGTTGGCGCTCTCTCTCTCTCCTTTTTTTACTGCCTCACTTCCGGTCCCTGTTGAGAAAGGAGAAACGTAGAGCTAGGAAGATTTACGAGGTGACCCCTGCCCTTTGGTGCTTTTTCAGCAAGGAAAAAATCCCTTTCCAAAGAAAGCAAGGGAAGGGGTTTTTTCTTGATTATGATGATTATTTCTCTCTTCATTTGTTTCTGCCGGCCAGCCCCGCCCGCCGCCCCTTTTCTTCCTTCATGAAACCATGCCTGAGAAAGAGGGGGGAACCTAGAGCTACGAAAGTGTACATGGGAACCCTACTTCCGTCGTTGGCGCTCTACGAACAGGAAGCGGAAGCTGTGTGCTGGCCCCTCTTTTTCCTTCTTCTCTATGGTCGTCTGGCTGAAGGGGGGGCTCCTGGCGGGTTTCCCGCGTCAGGAGCTGCCAGGAGGTGATCTTGCGCTCTCTCTCTCTCTCTGTGTGTGTGTGTGTGTTGTGGAGGGGCAATATATTGGGTGTGTGTGTGTCTTTTCCGTGCAACCCGTATCAGTAACCGTCCCCCCAGGGTTCCCATTGCATCCAACGCCATGCAAAAGGGGGCTTTCTTTCCCCCCCCCACGGCCTCCTCCATGGGGCGGGGCGGGGTGAGGATGTGGGGTTTTTTGGGGTGTCCCAATCCCACCCCCGGAAGCAAGGAGAGACACCCCCTTCCTCCGAGCAAGATGTCCCAGAGTGCGGGGCTCGCCCTTGGTTTTCCTGCGAGGAGACCCCCCTCCACCCATCATCTTCCACCCCGAATCTTTTGGGTGCTTAAAAAAGGGGAGGAGGGAAAGTGACAAGGGCTGTGTTCCCCCCCCCCCAAGAAAAAAAGGCGCAAGGAGGGAGGCTTTTCCCTCAACTTGGAAAAGTTGTGTTGAGGATGTAAGGATCTGGGGGGGGGGAGGAAGAGGAGGAGGACAATGGGGAGGGGTGCCAGAAAAGGGGTTGGGGACATCGGTATAGCAGTCTCTGAGGGTGAGCAGGGACTCAAACCCAGGTCTCCAAAAATCCCAAGAAGATATAAAAACTGATGAAGGAAGGCATGGTTGATTAAAAGCTTTCGTTTCCTTGGTCCAAGAAGCCTCCAGACTGATCCTTTTTTTTCTTTTTCCCCAAGAGAGAGAGAGAGTGTGAGACTGAACTGATGCTCTCCTTGCTTTTCCTGGGACCAAAAGAGAACGACCAAGTGCCCGACCCCTCCAGGATTTGCAAGGTAGGTGAGATTCACCCCATCTTTCACGTCCTTCCTTCCTCCCATCATCAGCTCCTTCCTCCCTTTTCTTTTTTCCTTCCTTCCATCATCATCTCCTTCCTTCCTTCCATCATCAGCTCCTTACTTACTTACTTTTTTCCTTCCTTATCTTTTTTCTTCCTCCCATCATCATCTCCTTCCTTCCTTCCTTCCTTCCTTCCTTCCTTCCTTCCTTCCTTCCTTCCTTCCTTCATCAGCTCCTTCTTTCCTTCCTTTTCTTTTTTCCTTCCATCATCAGCTCCTTCCTTCCTTTTTTCCTTCCTTCTCTTTTTTCCTTCCTCCCATCATCATCTCCTTCCTTCCTTCCTTCCTCCCATCATCAGGTCCTTCCTTCCTTCCTCCCTTCATCAGCTCCTCCCTCCCTCCCTCCCTCCCTTCCTGTTTTTGGTTCAAGAAGCAATAGGATGCAATCTGCTGTAAAACTTAGGAAAGTATATCAGATGATTTTACACTGTGCAGGGGCCATGAAATGAGCAGGCTGATAGTTTATGTAGTCACAAGTAATTAGTATAGCAAATAGTCTTAGAGAGAGAGATTAAAGAAATCAGCCACACACAGAGGGATGTCTGCCAGATGAACGACAAAGAAGAAGACTCAGTAAGGGAATGCCAATGGAAGTAGCAGCAGTACTGGATGTAGTGGATGTGGATCTGGATGTGTGTGAGAGTGATGGGTGTGTGTGAGAGAATCTAGATGTGTGAGAATGGTCTGGATGTCACACACCCCTGGAGGACTCTCTAGCAAGCTCACAGATAGTGGGCAGCATACAGATAGTTGACAGAGTACAGATAGGACAGTCATTACATCATGTTATTATGATTACCCTCACTACAACAACAATGTGGCTTAGCAACCTTGGCAATGGCACCCCCACAACACCGAATGGCAGGCAGGTTGGTTGGTTATTTATTTGTTTGTTCATTTATTTATTTAATTATTAACCTGCCTTTCTCCTTGAAAAGGACCCAAGGTGGCTCAGGAAAGAAAATATTTAAAAGCTGGAAACCGGGAGTAGACCACGGTGCTTCGCGTCATTAAAAGGTAACCTCAGGAGCAGTTGAGGCCGCTACCGCTAGATCTTCTTCCAGGACAACTTTTCTTTTGTAATTGTTATTTTTGTGTACGACTTATTTGTGTACAACTTATTTAAAGGCTTGCTGTTTTCTCTGTGGGCACCCTTCTGCGCTCTCGGTTCATCGCTTTTTAATATCTTTGTGATGGATGGGGGTTGATGGTTTTCATTATGTTTATGTTTGTTCTTTATGTTGCTGGAAACTCCCAGAGCAGTGGCATGAGTCTAGATGGTATGATATTGATATACAATCAGTCAGTCAATCTGATCAATCTACCATGATACACGTTGAGGCTTTTCCATTTCCCTGTTTCTGCTCTCTGGAAGAGAGACAGACATGTACCTCCAGATGAGGTAAAAAAGAACAAAAACTTGGTAGTGTAAGGAAAAAGTTTTGGTTTTCTTGGTCCAAGAAGCCTCCAGACTGATCTCTTTTTTCTTCTTCTTTTCTCTAAGGGAGAGAGTGTGAGACTGAGCTGATTCTCTCCTGGCTTGGCTCAGGACCAACAATGAAGAATCAAATACCAAATCCCTCCAACGTTTGTAAGGCAGATGAGATGTCTTTTCCTGCTTTAGAGATCAGAACCACAACCGTTAAATTTGTTGTTGTTTAGTCATTTAGTCGTGTCCGACTCTTCGTGACCCCATGGACCAGAGCACGCTAGGACCTCCTGTCTTCCACTGCCTCCCAGAGTTGGGTCAAATTCATGTTGGTCACTTCGATGACACTGTCCATCTCCTTCTCCTTCCTTCACACTTTCCCAACATCAGGGTCTTTTCCAGGGAATCTTCTCTTCTCATGAGATGGCCAAAGTATTGGAGCCTGAGCTTCAGGATCTGTCCTTCCAGTGAGCACTCAGGGTTGATTTCCTTTAGAACTGATAGGTTTGTTCTTTTTGCAGTCCAGGTGACTCTCAAGAGCCTCCTTGGGTTCTGGCCCAAGAATTCCCTCAGGTTGTCCCACTGCCAAGGCAGTCTACTAAGACTAAGAGTTGTCAATCTTTTTCTCCCCTGACCTGTTTTCTGGGAGTATCCCCACCCTCCCATACTGTTGGTTTCCCAGTCTACCCTGCCTCTTTCTTCTGGGTGCTGTTTAGGGAAATAAAATTCCCTTTCCTCCTTTTCTTATCTAATTAGCTCCTCTAAAAACAGTCTGCCCAGATATTGCAGGTCGGAGCGGTCAGACTCTCTGAACCCTGTCCATCAGCCAAATTTGCAGTGTTTCACACTGTATCTTTTGCTTTATTGTGAATCTTATCTATAATTTAATTCTGTTGTGTTCAGTCCAATTCTTTTGTGTAGAGCTCTGTGTGAGGGTCATTATCTACGCAACCCCATCTGCGCCAGACACACAATGACATTGTTCAAAAATCCCTTCCGGGTGTGTCTCCGAACATATCTGAGTCCTTACATAGGATCTGAGAGTGGACCTGGGAGCAACAGCCCCCTCATGGGGTGCTTGGCAACCAACTTGCAGAGGGATCTTATTTTGGCACCTCCCACACATATACCCGCACCTTGACTCTCTGAACAGCCCCCGGAAGGCCAGGTACACAAGGTCTGCCTTGCAGTTGTGTGTTCAGTGCACTGGAGAACCTTCCTTTGCTCATGTGGGTGGAAATAAGTTTCTTGACCCTTTAGGATTCTAACCCACTCTGTGGCATCTCCCTTTATTTTTCCCTCCATGGTTCTTGGCACTGTCCAGCTGTAACTCCGAGAGATGGGGAGAGAGGAAGTGGAGGATTCCCCCTCCTCTTCTGGTTCCTGTCCAGACACAACCAGGGGTTAATTCATGGCGGGAGCGAGTCATGGCTGGCAGCTGGCATCTTCCCCCTGGCTTCTGAGTCTTGCTTTTGCCTTTTTCTGCCTGCAGGTACATAGGACCAGCGAGCTGCAGAGTCAGTGCCTCATCCTTACGCAAAGTGCGGCCCTCAGGGCACACTTAGCATTGCAGTTGTCAGAGTTGTGCGTTTAAGAACTGTGGACCCTGAGCCTCAGCCTCCTAGCAGATCTCCCTTTCATCAACTTCTCTTTCTTTTTGTATTCCTTCCTTCTTCTGTTTTAAAATTCTGTAGGTAAAGGTAAAGGTTCCCCTTGACATTTACTCCAGTTGTGTCTGACTCTAGGGCGCGGTGCTCATCCCCGTCTCCAAGCCATAGAGCCAGCATTTGTCCGAAGGCAGTTTCCGTGGTCACGTGGCCAGCGCGACTTAGGCACAGAACCCTGTTATCTTCCCACCAAGGTAGTACCTATTTATCTACTTGCATTTTTACATGCTTTCAAACTGCTAGGTTGGCAGGAGCTGGGACAAGCGATGGGAGCTCACTCCATCGTGTGGATTCAATTTACGATGGCTGGTCTTCTGACCCTGGAGCACAGAGGCTTCTGCACTTTAACCCGCAGTGCGGGTTAAAACGTCTTAATAATAATAATTTTCTATTAGGAACTTTAAAATTCTACCTTAATTTTAGTTCATTCTCTATTTCTGGAACACCCTTCTTGGCCAAAAAATGATTTTTATTTTCCTTCTTATTATTTAATCTTATTATTAATCTCACAAGTCACTATCATTTCATATCTTTTACCCGATCACCTCTTAATTATTGTAAATCTATTCTCCCGACCTCCTTTTAACCAGTTTGGATGTTTCCCCATCCTGTGAACAATCTTCTCACTGCTCCAGTTTTTAAAAAAGAATCATTAATTAGTTTTATACCTTAAATGTAAATATTTAAAACTTACTGACATGTCCGCTAAACGCCTGCCCTTCGTGGCTTATAAAAAACTGTGCAAAATGTGGCGATCAGGATAGGCTCCCAGCATCCTTAAAGGAGGCAATAGTGAGAGCCTTCCAATCCCGCAATACTGAATACAGTGGTGCCTCACAAGACGAATGCCTCGCGGGATAAAAAACCCGCAAAACGAATGGTTTTTGCGATCTCTGTGGTGCCTCACAAGATGGCTTCTTCAATGTCCGTGCCTTTCAAGATGATTTTTCCCCCCAAGACCGATGCCTCGCAAGACGAAAATAATTCATTCGTCCTGCGAGGTTCCCATAGGAATGCATTGCAATCCATTCCTATGGGAAACAGCTTTTCGCAAGACAGTGCTACTCACGGAACGAATTTCATTTTGTGAGGCACTACTGTAATTACCAACCTGTCTCTAGTCTTCCATTCTTAGGCAAGACGTTGGAGCGGCCCATGGTGTCTTAGCTCCATGGGTTCCTGGATGAGACACATTATTTAGATCCATTTCAATCTGGCTTCCGGCCTGGTTATGGGACAAACACTGCTCTAGTCACAGTGGTGGATGACTTACACGAGGAGCTAGACAAAGGAATGTGTCCCTTATTGGTTCTGTTTGGGCCTCTCTGCAACTTTCATTACCATAGACCATGGTATTTTTCTGGCCTATCTCTCTGGGATGGGACTTGGAGGCCTTGTTTTATGGTGGATCTGGTCCTTCCTGCAGGAGAGCTCAGAAGGTGGTGGTGGTGGTCTCCTCTTCAAGGCCCATGCCACTAGCCTGTCAGGTCCCTCAGGGTTTTCTTTTGTCTCCTATGTTATTTAGCATCTACATGAAACCGCTGGGAGAGATTGTCCAGAGTTTTGAAGTTTGCTGTCCCCAGTATGTGGACGACACCCAACTCTACCCTCTCCTTGCCTTCTACATCTGAGGAAGCTATTCTCAGCTTTTGATCAGGATCTGGTATCAGTAATGGAATGGATGAGGGCAGATAAACTAAATCCTGACAAGACAGAGGTTCAGTCAAATGGTAGATCAGGGAACAGGGATACAGCTTGTGCTAGATGGGGTTACGCTCCCCCTGAAACCCCAGGTGCTCAGCTTGGGGTTACTCCTGGATTCGTCTCTGAGCCTGGATACCGAGGTTTCAGTGGTGGCCAGGAGTGTATTTGCACAGTTAGAACTAGTGTGCAAGCTGCACCTATTCCTGGAGAGATCTGATTTGGCCATGTTGGTTCATGCCTTAAGTACTGTTTTTTGTGTGTGTATAAAATGATACTTTTTCATAAAATAATTAAAGGAAAAACAGGTAGTTTTATACACCGAAGTAAAGGGGAGGGATCAAAGCACTGCTTTCCCTGCTTTCCCCCTCCACGTTTTGCAAAGAAAATAGAGGGGCAAAGCAAATCCTGCTTTCCCCCTACATTTTCATTGCAAAACGTTTGCAACAAAAATATAGGGGGAAAGCAGGATTGTTTTCCCTCTCCGTTTTCTTTGCAAAACATGGAGGGAAAGCAGCTTTTTGCAAAGAAAGTGGAGGGGGAAAGCAGGAATCACTTTCCCCCTCCACTTTTTTTTGCAAAGAAAGAAATTTTGGGTTAGAAAAGTGGGGATTGTCTTATGCTCGGGGGCATCTTATACACGGAAAAGTATGGTAATGTCCGGCTGGATTAGTGCAACACGTTCTGTGTGGGTCTGCCTATTGAAAGTGTCAGGAATCTTTCAGCAGCTCCAAAATGCCACAGCTAGATTGCTAACGGGCTGGATACATATATCGTATAATCCCCATTACAGCACCTCCACTGGTTACCGATCTGTTTCCAGGCAGAATTTAAAGTGCTAGTTCTAACTAGATGGGCATGAAGTTAAAAACAAATTCATCAAAAATCACTAATTTGTTCATTTGGATCAGTTTGGGTTTGTCCAAACTGGAGAACCCAAACTTTCCCAAACTGACAAATTTTGGTGTGTTTTTTTTTATTGAAGGGCCATACCTAGGTATTTAGAACAGGATTGCCCCTTTATAATCCAAGACCTTTTGTCATCTAACAAAGGCCATAATTTTTGTCTTTTGATAATTTGTTTGTAATTCCTTCATTTTGCAAAAGTCTGCAAATTTCTTAAGGGCTTTCTTTAGGCCAAGGTGTCAATAAAGTATTTAAATGCAGAACCTTCCCCTCCTCCCCACAATAATAATAATAAAAAGGTAATAGTGAAGTATCCAGACTTATGGAATCCATGAACTGCGCCCCCACTTTTCCTTCATGTCTGCTTTGGGGAGAGGAGCCAGCTCACAATGGGTGTACCCCTTTTTGTGGTGGTGGTGGTGTTTTTGCTCTTTCTTTGGAAGATACAGCTGGAACTCTTCCCCCCCTTCCTGAAAATTTTGTTCCCCAGAAATTTCCTTCAATTGAGACTCTATAAAGAACTCTCCACTCCCCACACCATCTGGATTTTTTTTTTAAAAAAAAACAATACTGCAGGGCTGAAAAGAAATTCAGGATTTAGTGGTGGTGGGGAGAGAGATGTTGAACAACAGGAGTCCTACACCTCCCAGATGGCCTGCCCCCCCTCTGTCCCTTCCAGCCAAACTGTGGTGCACAGCAAGTTCAGGGTTGTGTGCGGTTGGTGGCGGTGGTGGGAGTTTGGGGGGGAAGTGCTAATCAGATATCTCTGGAGTCAAAGCCCCACAGGCTCCCCCTTTAACCATGGGAGAGAAAACTGTCCATAAAAAAGGAAATTCCTCATGTCTGCCTCTCCAGGATGTGGCACCCCCCTTATTGGGGGGGCAGGAACCCCTTTCTTTTTGGTCCTCCCCTCTTCGCTGGCTCCTGTGTGCCAAAAAGCAAAAAAACCAAACCATCGATCTTCCTGCAAATTGGGTGGGAGTGACGCAGGGACACCCCCCACGCCACCCCTGGCTCTTTTCTCCCTTTCCTGCCTTCCTTCCTCTTCTCTTCCCACAGTCCTATGGCTTGTCTTCAGTCATTCGGCGGTGGCAGGTTGGGTGGGTGGTGGGAGGAAGGGAGCGAGTGAGCGAGCGATGCACAATCTGTGTTCCCCATCTCGGTGGATTCTCTGGAGGGGGGGCAATCACGGACCGTGTGGGGCGGTGAGGGTGGGGGAACGCTGATGAAAGATGATCAATCCGGTGACCCCTCTTCTCCCCTCTTGCTGCCCCCTCCCTCCCACAAAGAAAAGCCCAGCGGGGGAGGACAGAGGTTGCGATCTGCCAGCTGCCAGCACCGCAGCTGTGCTAACCTGCTCCTTTCGCTTCTCTGGCTTGCCTCCGCTGCCTCTCCGTACACACACCCCAGCGACAACAGCAGCCGCGCTCCTCTGCTGACTGCACCCCGGTGTAGAGGGGCTGGGGTGGGGGGTGGATGGTGCACGGAAGCGGTGGTGGTGCCTGGAGGGGAGTAAAAGTCAAAACTCTCGAGATCGCCTGGAAACCTTCTGGATACCCCCCACCCTGTCCCCGCTGCTGGTAGCCTGCTCGGGCCGCCTACCTGAGCCGTTCTCGGACTTCCAGGCATCCGAGAACGGCTCAGGTAGGCGGTGCGGATAGGCTACCAGCTGGGGCTGGCCGGCGCTTCGGAGCGGCCGCGGGAGAGGATCCGCCCCCCGGCCGGTTACCCCATCCATGGCTGGACTCCTGAGAGTCCGACCATGGAAGGGAAAGCTGGCTGGGGGGAGAATCCAAGCGGCGGCAGCGGCGGTAGGAGCTTAGATCCGACCCCTGGCCGGTTCCCCTTGCAAAGCGATTTTTCCCCATAGGCAACATCGCAAAGCGATGGCAAAAGAGATTGCTTTTTTGCCATCGCTATGCGGATTCATCGTTAACCGGGGCACTCGTTAAACGAGGCACCACTGTACTTAACCAACCCTAACCCTAACCCTAACCTTAATTGACCAAAATCAGACTACTGTGGAACTGGTGGCGAAATTTTGGGCGGCATGCTAAACTAAACCCTTAGACCTTGGTTTTATATTGCTATATTTGCAGTCTTAGATATTTTACTTCTCCACTTAGGGCTGCAGCTTGTTTTCAATTCGTACAAGCTTTTTAGTTCTACACAGCTTCCAGGTTCCATATTTTAAAAATATCAAGTTTCAAATATATTGAAGACAGTCTTAAAGTAGTAGAAAAACGATCAACACATAACTTAAAATGACATTTCAGCACTAGGTAAGCTCATAATTTTTTCTAAATAAGAATAATACCAGGGTCTCTGACCGATGGAATGATGGCAGTGTAAAAACCATTTATTTTATTTTATTTTATTTTATTTTATTTTATTTTATTTTATTTTATTTCTATCCCGCCTATCTGGTCATATTAGACCACTCTAGGCAGCTTACAATAA